GCCTCTGTCGCCCAACTCGTCGTTTCTCATTTGGATTCCATTCGACGGCCTGGTCTGGCTCGTTATATCCCCAATCGAGCTTCTAAGTGAATGCTGAATCCATCTCCAGCGAGTATATTCGACACCAATTAGGTTTAAGGTTAGCTTGAAGACATTATAATAAGCGAATCACATGCAGTTGACGAGTCTTGAAAGGGATAAAATGCGCATCTTGGATTCCACTGTTAGCCACTCTCTGTTATTACTACTATAATTTACTTTGTGTTGTTGAACATATTTGTAATGGAAATAAATCAATTGAAACAAAGAAACAACCTTCCACCCTCTGAATGGTTAGTTTTTGCTGTTATTACTATTATTCTTAGTAAACTCTACTTCCCTTTATCTATATCTCTGGTTATCTTTCTCTTTTCATCATATTCCTACTGAATGGTCAAACAACCAACATAAAGAGAATTTACCACAGATTCAATGTTCTACTAAAGAACCTATGGTATACACAGTGAAACATTAAGATAAATGGTGTTTGATCTCTTAAACACACGGGGATTATATCAAAACTTTCTTCATATACTTCTACTCATATATTACAGAGTAGATATTCAGTGAGTAACCTTCTTCATGTATATAATCAGATACACTTCTGTTTTAATATGATGTAATTATTTCATACGGTGGAGATGGATGGATGGTCTTGGTTGCATTGAGTTCTCTGAGATGGGTTGTTTAGTCGCGGAGCTTTCACATCATCTTTCCAGACATTATCCTCAGAACTAACTTCAGTACGAAGTAATGAGCTGTCAATATCTCTCCGTCAGCAGTTCAGTAGCTTCCCCTGACGAACTGGCCTATGATTGATTATTGTGTCATTGACTGACTGTATAGACTATCCTGGTAGCTGTTCATCTGCTTCACCTCTCACCTTCCTGTCGTTCACCATCTTTCTCATTGGTTGATAGATTGAATCTAAGTCTATACTTCTACTGATTGCTGACTGATCTGAATGTCAAGCTCCTAGGAATTCTCCGACGTTCTTTGCGTTGCCACATTGTCCAAATTGAATTCATGCCCATTGTTGTTATCCACAGGCATTGAAATGAGTGATGAAATGTTGTGTGTGACGTTCAATAGCCAGCCACTTGGTGTTCATGTAAACAAAGGCGAAGGTGGGCGACCACTTTGTCCAATGTGTAGTGTTGACTACAGTTATTCCAGTTGATTTTGTAAGTGATATTCGGTTTGCCTGTCTTCTTTGGTTGTTGCATCCTTTGGTCTGCATAATAGTGTTTAGAGGGAATTTGTCAGTTTATGAGCCACACGAATTCCGAGTAGTCTCAGTAATCTTGTCATGATTTCTGATACATTCTTTATGTATGATAGGATGATGCGCTTATTGATTTTTGTCGGTGGCTTTATAGTTGATGTATGTGATGGGCATCTTCAGATAAAGTTTCGTGGGTGAGTCGTTCTTCTTTAGGGTGGACATCAAGTAATTTTCTTCGTTTTTCCGTGAAGTTGTTGTGCTGCAGTGTGTTATCTCTCTTTTGAATAGAGTCTGCACTCAACTGATTTTGTGTGTTGTTTGGTTGTTGCTATTGTAGTTGAGGATTTGGTCAGTGTGTGTTGGCTTCCTGTACACTTGGGTTTTTAGCTTTCCGGCATTTGTCCTACTGACTGAAACATCCAGGAATGGTAGTTGGTTGTTCAGCTCCTTCTCCATTGTGAATTTGATGTCATTAAAAACATTGTTAATCAAACTGTGGGTGTTTTCTATATCATCTTTTTTAATGATGACAAAAGTGCGATCCACACAGCAAATCCAGAATTTTGGTTTGATCACAGGTAGGATGATGACTTCCAGTAGATATTTCTTGGTTGGAGGCAATCAACAGGAAGCCTTGTTAGACCTAGGTTTCGTGCTTTCTGGCACTCATCAGCAAGGCGTATCTGTAGCCTCAAAGGGACTGATGTCCCGCCTGAGGTTCGAACCTACGTCACCCAGTCTTGTAGTCAGCGACTTTATCACTGAGCTATTCGGGCCACAATTGACCCCCTGTAGGACTGGCTTACATGTATTGATTGGTCATGGGAGTGCAACCAATTTCATGTTGTCTAGTCCTGAGTGCGGACAAAATCCTATCGATGATATTTGCAATATGGCAACACTGTGTGACGCTGGTCTGAATCTCAGGCGGGACATCAGTTCCGTCGAGGTTGCAGATACTCCTTGCTGACGACTGCCAAACCTAGGTCGAGCAGGGCTTCCTGTTGATTGCCTTCAACTAACTAACAGGTCACAGTGACTGGTTCCCAGCTATCATGCTCTTCGTCACTATATTTCTGAATGCTGAACGAATGATTATATCCCATCCCATTGTGTTTACCAGTTCAGATGTGTGCATGAATACACACACATAGAGGGAAGTAAACGAGCCATTCAGTTTAAGACAGAACATTTACCTGAATAGCTTCAATAACAGATGGAGTGTAAAAACTTGGTAAACTCAGGTGACGAATATACCGCAAATTGAAACCACTTTTATGTGTATAAAAACGGATAGTCCTTACATTACACCCACCATACAGGCTGTATTATCCTATGTTTCCTCCTAATATATGAATTGTCTAACCGTGTATTTGTCTGATGGACCAGTATATAGCTTACCTTCGAAAATGTATGTGATGATTTGTGACTCGGTAGTTACCCCATCCACCTTTCAATAGAACTCCCTACCGGATTTATGATTGACATTCATGCTATATTCTCAAACAGTAATTCTTTGAAGGATATCATTTGTATTTCTAATATTCTGTGCTTTCTTCTTTACTAAACTATTCAGGATAAACAGTTTAGAGTGATAGCTCAATGGTATAGCTAGTCGACTTTAAACTGGTAGGCTAAGCGTTGAAATCTAGCTCCATCCAACCAAGATTTCTACAGTCAGTGAGTTTCAATAGGTCTCAGATAATAGGTGTGATACATTTTACCTATAGCTTGAACGAGCAATGGATAGAGGTCATAAAGCATATGATGCACTTCTAAGTCACTAGGCTAGTAGACTATTGGTGGAGAAAAAGCAGGACTCCTTTATGAGGCCGTTTCCAAAAAAAAGCTATAATAACTTAGATTTGTCTATATTTTATTCTGCAGGAATTCAATCACTGTTTGACTACAGTTTCTGTGGTAACTGATCTGAAAAGCGAAACAACTAAGTACTTTAGTGATCCATAAACCACAACCACCATTCACTCATATCTTTTAAGAAACATGCACCTCAACTTCATCAACTACGAAAACACATTCAACAGCGTCGACCAACAAGTAATTAGGCAACACTATGGAATATCAGAAACCTTTATCAACCTCATTCAACAACTAGATGAAGATGCCACATACCAAGTGATTCACAATCAAAAGCTAAGCTCTGTGAGGCCTTCGAAGTGAAAACAGGAGTAAGACAAGCTTCCCACCTACTATCAACGATCATCTTCCTCATTGTGTTCTGATCCACTAGACTGGATCATGCAACAAACTGTGAGCAGCTGTGAGAAGATGGGCATACGCTGGCTGAACCTATGAAAAAACCTCACAAGAAGATTTGGACAACTCCAATGATGATTCATATCTAATGTCACACAAACTCAAAGATCTACAAACAAAATCCAACAAGTTGATAGAAGAGGCAACGCAACCAAGGAAGACAGGACTTCAAGTGAATGTAGAGAAGACAGAGGTGATGAAGATACCTAAACACCACCACCACCACCAACAACAACAAGCTCCAATCACCACCAACTGGAGAAACTCAAAGCAAGTAGACTCTTCCACCTACACATTCCTAGGCAAAGCAGCATCGTCTCAACTACAGACAGCACAGGCACAGACGAGGACGTCAAAGCCAGGATCAGCAAAGCAACATGGGTATTCATTAACCTGAAACCAGTACAAGGATCTTCTGCACTCACCAGAAAGCGTGAACAACATTTGGATTTTCAACACCAACGTCAAGTCAAGTGAGTAAGTGCTTCTATATGATTCAGAGACTTGACGCGTTTCCAAAAGCATTTCCAACAAACTACAGATATTCGTAATGAACAACTGCCGCATACACTGGCTCGTTACTGAAGCTCACATGGTTACAAGGAATAAGCAATAAGGATTGAGCATGCACTGAGTAGGCCGATTGGGAACATCACGCACCAGGTCAGGCACTCGAGTGGAACCCAGATGGGAAACGACGAGATGGGCGTCGGAGGTGAGGGTGACATGGAGGAGATCGTGTGAGGAAGAAGTGAGAGACTTTGGGCAGTGGTGGAGCCAGGTCGAAAATATTGCAGAGAATAGAGTGTACTGGAGACGTGCTACTGAAGCCCTTATATTCCACTAGGAACTCAAGGGACAAATAATCAATAATAATTGATAAGTGCAGATATACTTTTTTTTAGAAGTAAATGAAGCAAATATTAAAATTTATATCAATTTCACTAAATTGATAAAGAGAAGAAAAAGGTACTGAATAGTGAAGGTGTATTCCTAAGTTGGTCACTGGGAAGAAAATCAAATAATCCTAAACCATGAGAAAATAAACAAATATTTTTTCTTCCTTGAAAAAGCTACAGAAACCTGAAAGTAGCACAGGGATAGGACATATAAACAAAAACAACTTACATATACAAAAAAAAAACTCAGCTGAATATTCCAAAAAACAAGGTGAATTACAATAAACTAGAGGATTAAATTATATCCATAGGCAAATAATTTACAGATATTTTATTCATTTATAATTTAGCTACTCATGAGTAGCTAAATGCGTTTGTGTAAATATTTGAAAGGAAAAAATTTAACCTATCGTGAAATAATAATCTTAATGTCTACACACAAACCGGTGGTCAAGCAGTAAGTCAAGTTTATTCACCACGAAAAGAAAAAAAAAATCAATTTCATGATGAAAATTAGATCCATTTAGTAAAATGAAGAGATAAAAAAATTGATTAAAATTTTATGATTTCTGAAATTTACTTATCATATTCTTTACAATACCTATTTGTTGTGTTCCATTATCACAGGTAGTTCTACTGTTAGATGATGTGAGATTATGAAGACTTTTTAAAGTTGGTGAATAATCACGATTTCTCAGACTAGGCTCTTTTACCTTATAAGGAGTATCTTTTGAAGGTAGTCTACTATTCATTCTTCGTGGTGGTTTAACTGGTTTACTGTCATCATCATCATCGTCATGAGTGTAAGTTTTATTTCGATACAAATTGACAGTAGGTTGTGTTAATGACTCTGATAGAGATGACATCACAGATTGTACACGACCTTTACAAACTGATTCTATGCATTTATCATCTTCAAACTCCTTACCTTTAAGAGAAAAAGATAATTGAAAAATAATTTAAAAAAACAACGTTTCAACAATCAAACCAATTACACATTCTACAGAGAAGTAACTCAATACTTAAAAAAAACAAAATAGATGTTTGGAAGAAAGGATACTTTGTCAAACTCCAAAGGAAGCGAGACCTAAGTCTTTGAAAGAACTGGCGTGGAAACATCCTCTACTCCTGTCCACACCAAGCAAAATATTAGGCCGCATCATGCTGGAGACACTAAAGGATGTGATGGATACAGGAAGAATATATCATGTGCCGATCAAATCGCAACGCTACGCTACTCATTATCATACAACAGAGCATAGAATGCCAGTCAACTGGATCTTTACCTCAAACTCATCGACTTTGAAAAGACATTCGACAGCGTCGACCAACAAGTAATTAGGCAACTGCTTCAACACTATGCAATACCAGAAACCTTTATCAATCTCATTCAACAACTAGATGAAGACGCCACATACCAAGTGATTCACAATCAAAAGCTAAGCTCTGTGAGGCCTTCGAAGTGAAAACGGGAGTAAGACAAGCTTCCCACCTACTATCAACGATCACCTTCCTCATTGTGTTCTGATCCACTAGACTGGATCATGCAACAAACTGTGAGCAGCTGTGAGAAGATGGGTATACGCTGGCTGAACCTATGAAAAAACCTCACAAGAAGATTTAGACAACTCCAATGATGATTCATATCTAATGTCACACAAACTCAAAGATCTACAAACAAAATCCAACAAGTTGACAGAAGAGGCAACGCAACCTAGGAAGACAGGACTTCAAGTGAATGTAGAGAAGACAGAGGTGATGAAGATACCCAATCAACAACAACAAACTCCAATCACCACCAACTGGAGAAACTTAAAGGAAGTAGACTCTTCCACCTACACATTCCTAGGCAAAGCAGCATCGTCTCAACTACAGACAGCACAGGCACAGACGAGGACGTCAAAGCCAGGATCAGCAAAGCAACATGGGTATTCATTAACCTGAAACCAGTACAAGGATCTTCCGCACTCAGCGTAAAGCGTGAACAACATTTGGATTTTCAACACCAACGTCAAGTCAAGTGAGTCAGTGCCTCTATATGATTCAGAGACTTGACGCGTTTCCAAAAGCATTTCCAACAAACTACAGATATTCGTAATGAACAACTGCCGCATACACTGGCTCGTTACTGAAGATCAAATGATCAGAATAATAAGAATAAGCAACAAGGAACTGTTGCTAGTTGGCTGGCAACGAACCAAAGAAGCAACAACTTATCGCTCAACCAATATGCTGAAGGAAATGGAGCTGCATGGGACATGCACTGAGAAGGCCGATAGGGAACATCACGCACCAGGTCAGGCACTCGAGTGGAACCTAGATGGGCAGAGACGAGTTGGACGTCGAAGGTGAGGGTGACATGGAGGAGATGGTATGTGAGAAAGAAATGAAAGCTTCTGGGCTGTGATGGGGCCATGTTGAAAAGATTGCAGAGAAGAGAGTGGAATGGAGACGTGCTACTGAATCTGTATGTTCCACTAGGAACCCAAAGGACAAATAATAAATAATAAAATAATATAAATTGAATTGAACGGTAGGTTTTAAAAGTTACAGAAAATGCAATCTAAATACCTTTATGAGTAAGAGGAGGGTAGGACAGCAGTGAAAACAATGAAAAACTCCTACATATTTCAAAAATTAGAAATGAAAAAATTACTGAACGGTTGGATGATCGTTCACTTTAGAAAATCACTATTAAGATCCTTAATTAAAAAATATTTACGTTGGTATTCATCATGTACTGACATCTGCTGAAGCAATTTTGCGAACATGTGAGCATTGGACAGCTCTCTGTCGTCCTCAGTAGTCCGTACCCATGACTCCACCCCACCAGGGATCAAACCCATGACCTTAAGGCTCCGTGGCTAGCACGTTACCATTGATCCACTGGATAAGAATCCAATCGTCCATATTTCCAACTTCTGTTAGCTAACGATACAGCGCAACCACCACCCAATGTCATCGTTGAGTAACTGTCCTTACTACCACCAGGCTTTGCCCCTACCGTTCACGACACGACTTCTCATTGGAACTTCGGGAATACCTCTCGAAGCTAGTCACCAATGGGCATTAGATCAATTGAATTTGGGAGTTTGTGAGGATTTATTGGTTTTTCACCCCTGCCCACTGCTGAGGAGTCCAATACTAGGATGAAACGGCTGTGTCTAGTGCTCTCAACTCTCCGAATTCCGCCCAAATGATGTCAGTCTATGATGAATACCCCCACAAATCCCCAAATTCAAGAAAATACTTTGCTGCTAACCTATGAATCACTTTTCCTCTACAATAAGCCTTGTGACTAATATGTAAAAAAACAAGCTAACGCATTAAGCCACACATCTATATGCATATAACAGTTTACATACTCCTTTAGAGCTAAGTACATTGGTTGTACTATACGCTTGATTGTAAACCACGTTCGAGAATACTACTTAGCCTGGCTGGCAAAGGGAGAACGGAAATTAATCTTGTGAATTAAGGTTGGTCAGCTCTAGAAATTAGTTTGAACAGTTTACTAAATACTCATTGGTAGGATCTTTCCCTGGGTCATGACACTTTTGTATCAGAGATCATATTTCATGTTCTCTGCTGGCAGGAAAGGTTTCCAGTAGAAAGTTTGTTGATACACGACCGTTGAGTAATTATAAGAGTATTCACTCAACGTGAACTGTGTAACTTGTAAATCATCCCGTTTAAACCATACCAGTCCAGCTTAACCAGACAGATTTAGATGATCTAAACTAATTTGGCTGTGTGAGCTGAATTTGTCTGGATACACCACTGATGAATTCAATCCCAAACTAGTGTAACACTTCTTCGCTGTTTAAATCAATCAAACCTTCCTGATGGGTGAAATTTACAGGTCAACTCGAGTAGGGTTTAACTATTCATATTGTTCACTCAGTTCTACTTGAGAACTCTTCCAAAATCTTTTACAAGATTTGATCAAGCTACTCGAAAGGAGTAAATGAGATCAAGGTCACCTGAGTATCGCTGAAGCACTAGAGATCCGCTAGTTGAAACTAGAACCATGTAATTCAGGAAACCTAAGTTCAACCTCTCTTTTCGTTATGGTTGGCATACAACTCTCATTGTTTGGAATAACTCCGCGGTGACCGGTCAAAGGTCAATATGGATTGTGTGACAAAGGGAGCTTATGTAATATCTGTAGGCGTTTAAAATGTAAGAATATGGGAATTATCTAGCGCGATCGATACGTTACCAAGACCATGGTTGTACATTGTTCTTTTGAATGCATACTGACGGTTTAAACCTTTCAATCGCTAATACCTCAGGTACGCTTAAATGTCTTAACCTTCCCTCCTTCCGGCTGGCTTAGCAACACACTTGAAGATGAATTACCGTCCTCCTCTTGTCAGCCAAGTTGGGTAGTATTAGGTAGTACATTACATAAGCTTGCGCTTAGTATAACCAATCTTCTTGGCTCCATAAGAACTAGTAAAGTGATATATACACATTGATTTAGCCTAATGCTTCGGGTTAATATGCACATTCATGAAATTACGAAATATACTACTAAATAATTCGAATAGTTAGAAACCAATCAGACTGATCTATTTTATTTTGCTTGCTATATCAGACTGATATTTAAATACTAGGAAACAAATTTCATAAACAGTATACCCGCACAACGGTTATAGATAATTCATAATACTTAAGTGTCTGATCACTGTTACCTTCGTAGTATAGGCTAGGCCATATTCCATGGTATCATCACATGAGTAATACAGAAGTCAGGTATAGAGTTTTGGGGAGTAGAGGTAAATCACTTGACACGGTTGTCAACCTTCATCAACTGAGATGGTTGGGACATGTCTTACGTATGCCTAGTGGCACAGTGCCTCGTCACACAATGTTGGTCGAAGTAGGTCCAGGTTGGAAGAAGTCCCGAGGTGACCAGAATAAAACATGGCACCAATGTATAAAGTCTCTCACTGTTGGTTTGAGTCATGTAGGGTGGGGGCAATGCAGACTAGCCGGTTGGGGTCGGTGAGGGGACAAGAGGAACCACTAGTGGTTGGAGACTGATTGTAGGTGATATTGGTGAGAACCAATGTCAGTGGTGCAGATGTATACCCACACACATTATCCTCATCTTAACGACACTATGTCGAATCTCACCATTTTTTCATTCTTCCTTTGAGTACTTTATATTTCCTTTGACTGCATTTTCTTATCTTCATCTTTCACCTCACTGCCTTTCTACTTGATGTAGTGATATGAGGTGTGGCAAGTGGGACCGTTACGCAGTAATGCCTGGTCCTATGTTGATATTGATGATGATGATGATGATGATGACGATGACGATGATACTCTTGTGTTAGAGATCACACCTTGTGATCTAAGATGGTGGGATACATTTCCAAAGGAATGACCTGCTGACATCACATCATTCCTTTATTCGACCTGTTCAATATTTTATTCTCTAATTTGTTCAGATCGATTTACCATAATAACGTAGCTTTCATATTTTCATTACTTTTCCTCAATGGACTGTCTTCCCTGTCAGTTATTAATGAACGAAAAGTATAAAACATAAATGAACAATTTTGTCTTGATTGCATTGTGTTTTCTAAGCTCGACTGCTTAATCGTGGAGTTTTCATCGTCTTTCTTCTAGACAACATTATTATTATTATTCTACTCTTAAGTTCCTAGTGGAACATATGGATTCACTAGCACGTCTCCATTCCACTCTCTTCTCTGCAGTCAACCTGGTTCCAAAACTGCCCACAAGCTCTCATTTATTCCTCACATCATCTCCTCCATATCACCCTCGCCTCGGACGCCCAACTCGTCGTTTCCCCCTTGGATTCCACTCAACGGCATAGCGAGTGATATCTCCAGTCCACCTTCTCAGTGTATGTATACCCAACCCAACCCAATCCATCTACACTATCTTCTTCTGCATATTTCTTGGGTGATACCTTCTTGCTTCGTTGGTTCATTGCCAGTCAGAGTTCCTCCTTGCTTTTTCTTTCTCACCATCTCATCTACAGTATCCATTCAGCGTAGGCAGCTATTCATGTGTGTTTGTAGTTTCTTGGAAGTGCTTCTCGTGACACGCCAACTCTCTAAACCATCTCACAGAAGCACTGACTTAATTCATTGAATAAATGTTGTCAATCCGGATATTGTTCACGCAGTGCAGTGTAGTAGATCTCCACACTAATTATTTCAGATTAATCAAGAAAGGTCTGTCTTACTGTCTTCCCCACACTGGCTGCATTGACATCGTCATCTGTGCTTGTGTCGACTGTAGTTGAAACGATGCTGCCTAGTTAGTCGTAGGTGAAAGAGACAACTTCTTCTAGATTTCTCCCGTTGATGGTGATTATTGCTTGTTGTTGTTGTTGTTGGTGGTGGTGGTGGTGGTGATGGTTGGGTATCTCCATCACCTCCGTCTTCTCTATATTCACTTGAAGTCTCGTCTTCCTTGGTTGCCTTGCCTCTTTTGTCAACTTGTTAGTTTTCCCCTGTAAGTCTTCGAGTTTGTGTGACATTAAACATAAATCATCATCGTTGGCGAAACCCAAATCTTCTTCTGGGGTTTTTTCATAGGTTCAGCCAGCTTATGTCTATATTCCCACAGCTGCTCACGGTTTGCTGCATGGTTCAGTCTAGTCGACCATGCTCAGGAAGATCATGGATGATAGTAGACAGCGACCTTGTCTTACTCCAGTCTTCACTTCAAAGGCATCACTGAGCTGAGCTTTTCAATGTGAATCACTTGGCATGTGGCGTCTTCATATAGTTGTTGAATGAGATTGATAAAGATTTGTGGCACTCCGTAGTGTTGAAGCAGCAACTGCCAAATTACTTCTCGGTCGACGGTGTCAAAGGCCTTCCCAAAGTCGAAGAAGTTGAGGTAAGGTAGAGAGTTGACTGCCATTCTATACTCTGTTCTATGATGATCTGTGGAGCTGTGTTGCAACATCATCACCACTAACTAACAGTATACAGTGAGCTGTCAATATCTCTCTGTAAGTGATTCAGTAGCTTGCCATGATGAACTGGTTTGTGATTGGTTGTTTCCTTCGGTTGTTGTGTTATTGATTGATAGATTCGGTCTATGTCTATACATCTACTGATTGCTGACTGACCTGAATGCCAAGCTTCTAGGAATTATCTGATATTCTTTGTGTTTCTACACTGTCCAAATTGAACTGATGTCCATAGTTGTTGTCCGCGTGCATTGAAATGAGTAATGTCATGATGTTTAATAGCCAATTGGTGTTCATGTAAATGATGGAAGAGAGGACGGTGACCAAAGTCATTGGAGTTGATTTTGTAAATGATATTGGTTTGTCCTCCTCGGCTATTGCGTCCTTTTGTCTACAGAATATGGTTTCAGGGGAAGTTGTTGATTTATGAGCCACATCAATTTCAAGTGGTTATTAAACGTCACACAGGACATTTCATCACTCATTTCAATGCATGTGGATAACAAGTATGGACATGAATTCAATCTCGACAATGTATACATTTCGGACGGAGAGAGGAAACACAACGAATATCCTCAGAGAATTCCTAGACGCTTGATATCCACGCCAGTCAGTTAGCAATCAATAGACGTATAGACATAGACCCAATCTATCAACCAATAAGAAAAATGATGAACGACAGAAAAGTCAGAGGTCAAGCAGAGGGACAGCCAACAGAAAAACCTATACAATCAATGACACAATAATCAAAGGAAACAACCAATCACAAACCAGTTGGTCAGGGCAAGCTACTAAATCACTCACGGAGAGATATTGACAGCTCACTTCATACCGAAGTTAGTGGTGATGATGTCACTGTCTAGAGGCGAGACGATGAAAGCTTCACGATTAAACAACCCAGCTGCTCAGAGAACGCAATACAACCAAGATCATCCACCTGAGCTACTAATATTCTCCATCATTTCAGAATAAATTTGTTTGTTTGTTTCACAATTTAAATCCATTATGAATAAACTAATTAGCTTACCTCCTTCTAAAACAGCTAATGGAGCTTTAAGAGGACGATGTAGAGAAAAAGAAGTATTTTCCAATGTGGTTGGTGGAGCGGGTGCACGTGATTTCCGACGACTTCGTCTACCGTTCAGATTATAAGTCTCATTGAATGAAATTGTAGATGAGGATGCTGAACAAGAAGTATTATGTGTGGATTGCTTCCCATCTACTAATTGGTTGTGGTTACCTAAAAGTGATAGAGTTGGAGAGTGAGTGAGTGAGTGAGTGAGTGAGTGAGTGAGTGAGTGAGTGAGTGAGTGAGTGAGTGAGTGAGTGAGTGAGTGAGTGAGTGAGTGAGTGAGTGACAAAAGGAAACAACAAGAAGTTTTGCATTAAAATTCTTCTTCATAACATGTGATCATTGTTGAACCAAGAATATAATTTTCTGCGCCACCCTGAAACTTATTCCAACCCAATCCTATTTTCCCTCATATTGTATATGGCGATAAGCAACCTCAATCAGTGAAGGTTCACAACCTCATCTACTAATTTGCCTTCATACCCTAGTAACTTTCGTCTAACTTCGACATCGCTCACAAGGTGGTCCCACTCTATATGTGAACAATGCCACGAAGACACTTGTTGTCTAAATCCTATAGCCTCTTGAAATCTACTTTTAACGGTCACGTCTTACAGCCATATAACAGTACAGAACGAACTGCAGTGCAGTATACTCGTCGTTTAATAAGCAGTTGGCGCCAAAGATGAGGTAGGTTGGCACATGTCAAACGAGCCTTGTGTATCCCAATTGAGACCTTGTCAACAGTCAACCAGTTCGGTGTGACGCAACACTCCGTAAGTAAGTGATGTAGTTGACACATTCCACCAGTTTACTACTTATCATTAAACTGGGAGTGGTTGTAGCAGACCAGTTCTGAAGCATCATCTAACATTTGACAGGTACCAGTGAAACGCATATCAAACATACTCAAATTTTGACTCAACGCGTTTTCAGCATCTTCATATGATCGAATACTGTCATCTATGTGTACACACTTCCTTTTATCACAAATCTATATATATATATTGAGATAATATCAAACGCATTTATACCAAGTGAAGTAGATAAGTGCCAAGTTCAAGTGTTACTGTCAACTGTTTATATCGATTGACATACAAAACACCAGGTAGAATACCGCTTAAGTACCTCGAAGAAAATCTACACTTTACAAACTTAAACTCATTCATTCAAAAGAGGAAGAGTTGATTACTCATGGCACTGAACCAAGATATCGAAAATCTTAAAAATCATATACAGAAAATGGTATTTCTAAATGGTTCTCCTCCAATTTTTATATTCTACTATAACCTAGCCTGGTTAACTAGTTCACTAGTTACTAGCCGGTCCTAAGCCCGGGTAAACAGGGAAGGTTGGGCACAGGAATAGCAACCCTACCCCGTAAAACCAATCCAAGCGCTAAACAAACTTCAAAGCACAAACAAAATATAAAAAACAAAAACAAAATTATTCGTCGATGGAATCGGAGAGGCAAAATGACTCTCCAAACTGTCAACTGGAGAATCAATAGTCACCCAGACGACAACCACGAGCACACTGAGGGAGTGGCTATCATGATATCCCCAAGAGCATCGAAGGCTATCATGCGGTGGGAACCAATCTCCTCCAGGATCATAACAGCAAGGTTCAACTCAAAAGGAAGGAAAGTCACAATCGTACAGTTGTTCAATTCCAATGAAGCAAACAGACGTAATTCTGATCTCGCTGGAATCAGTTCTTTAGAGCATAACGATGGTTGGAGATTGTAGCCGTTCTTCAGATAAGTTTCGTATTTGTTGACGTTCATTAGCGAAGTGTATCAGAAACCTCCAGGGAACTGATATTCTCCTATTGAAATCGAATCTGTGACAATCAGTGTTGCATTCAGAGATGTTACTAATAAGTTACTTGGGCCACGATTGGCATACACGCGACTGGAAACCAAGTGCACCTACATTCCCTACTAGGTGACTGAAGGTAGGTTGGCAAGCGTCGAATCAACACATACGGTTATGTGGTACATTTAGAAGGATATGGCTGAAAACAACCAGTGGATTCATAGTAAAACATGACATTAAAGATGATTAGTGGGACCCAAGGCACATGTTTCGTGATGTTTAAGACTCGTTAGCTGGATATACCCGTCTCAGTGGTAGCGTCCCTGGAGAGACTCAAGGCATCAACACAGAAGCCCGTATACCAACAGAGGTTAATCAATTCGGTCCAAATAAATCAATCGCGGGAAATAACAAACTCAAATACCAAACGTCTGATAGTTTGTGGTTTCTCTCTCTCTCTCTCCTCAAGCATAGGCATTGGAACCAATTTCACAAAATTGGCTATCAAATTAAGCCTAATTTTATTGTCTTCTAAAACCACAGCTACCTCAGATAGTCAAACTGATAATCGACATGATGACCCATCTCTTTGTAATTCGGTTAGATTTGGATTAGGATGAGAAGCTCTGACTGAGCATCTAGTATGAACATACAATCAAGAGAATAGTAACCTATCACAAATTCAAATGATAGTCAGCCAAAAACCGTTGGTGAATAGAGTGATCTCATTGGTTATTAATTTAAAGTACCATCTATCCTGAATCTGGCTAGCTACGCATGGCATGTATGAACATGATGATGACGATAGCTTGTTAGCGTGTTAACACTTGATGACGACGCGTATCTACATGCTTGATGAAATACTGATGTCTTAATCATGTAGATATTTTATCTTTTGGTAGCAAAGTAAGATAGGTTTCACAATTGACCTGCGATTCAATGTATTCTCATCGATCACCTATGTGCATATTCTTATGAAGGTCTCCTTCTCGTCACCTAATTACACAAACGTTGACTTAATCACAGGAGAAGTTTCATTAGACCTAGAATATGCAGATGACATTGTCCTGTTAGGTAAAGACGCTGACAACATGCAGAGTCTTCTGAACACTGAGTGTCAATTCGAGAATGTTTGAGATACGGTTCTCACCACCTAAATGCAAATTGTTGCTCAAGGATTGGTCTTCAACGATGCATCACCACGGCTAACAATACAGAGTGAAGTGGTTGAGTGTGTTGACCACTTCACTTACCTGGGAAGTAGGATCAACCCTGGTGGGTCAGTGACCAATGAAATCTCCACACGGATACACAATGCTCGATTGGCTTTTGCCAATTTACACCACCTATGGCGCCACCGTGATATCCGTTTGTCTATTAAGGGTGGCGTGTACTGCACATCAGTCCGGTGTGTTGTACTGTATGGCTGTGAAACATGGCCACTGAAGATGGAAGACATGAGAAGGCTGGTTTCAAGTGTTTGACCACCGTTGACCTCGTAGTATAGGCTAGGCCATATTCCGTGGTGTCACCACATGAGTAATACAGAAGTCAGGTATAGAGTTTTGGGGAGTAGAGGTAAATCACTTGACACGGTTGTCAACCTTCATCAACTGAGATGGTTGGGACATGTCTTACGTATGCCTAGTGGCACAGTGCCTCGTCACACAATGTTGGTCGAAGTAGGTCCAGGTTGGAAGAAGTCCCGAGGTGACCAGAATAAAACATGGCACCAATGTATAAAGTCTCTCACTGTTGGTTTGAGTCATGTAGGGTGGGGGCAATGCAGACTAGCCGGTTGGGGTGGGTGGGGGGACAAGAGGAACCACTAGTGGTTGGAGACTGATTGTAGGTGATATTGGTGAGAACCAATGTCAGTGGTGCAGATGTATACCCACACACATTATCCTCATCTTAACGACACTATGTCGAATCTCACCATTTTTTCATTCTTCCTTTGAGTACTTTATATTTCCTTTGACTGCATTTTCTTATCTTCATCTTTCACTTCACTGCCTTTCTACTTGATGTAGTGATATGAGGTGTGGCAAGTGGGACCGTTACGCAGTAATGCCTGGTCCTATGTTGATATTGATTGATTGACTGACTGTACATTTAAAACCTAAAACAACTTTAAGAATAAGTAGGTTTATAAAAGTCAACTTATACGCTGAATGTGATGAAAAGAAATCATTACCAGATATGATTATGTGAACGATGTACTTTCATTATCAAGGAATTATCAATGAATGAATGGTAATCATTCGAATTTCATGCAATAATATAGCATAATTACCTTTAATTGACTTATCAGTAAACATCATAGACCTATGATGATTTAATCGAGGTGGTTTACAAACATTCACTTTGTTTACACAACCATTTATACCAATTGAATGGGCTTGAGTGAGTTTCGGTGATACTATTGGAGACTTAGCAGTGATATGACGATTAGGGCTATAATGATGAATAACACGATCAGATGATTCGAGATTTTCACTTCTGAAAAAAAAAGAAAACAACCAAAAACAAACATTACAAACAAATAAATGTTTCTTCCAATAGGATTCCACCGACCTTGAGCGACTACCGAGTGACCTTGGGCGCACCAATAAGAAAACTGTGGCTCTCTCCTAGCTTCCAATATAGAAATGAAATTATGGTATATATAAGCCATTCTTAACGCTGTTTGGGGGGGGGGGGAATTATTTAAGTTTTTTCTACAGCTTATGTCAATATACTACTTGAATGAACCTTTAAAAAGAAGGTTTACGAATTATAGTTGCAAGAATTCAAAAAGAAATCAGGTTTATCAAACTAGATTTCAGGTGAGGATCCTTACATTTCAAATTGAAGCAGTAGGATCGTTTCAACTACAGGCGGCGGCATAGGCACAGACGAGGATGTCAAAGCAACCAGTATCGGAAAGACAGTAAGACAGGCCTTCCTTGATTATGCTGAAATAATTAGTGTGGAGATCTACTGCACTGCACTGCGTGAACAGCATCCAGATTCATAACATTAATTCAATCAAGCAAGTCAGTGCTTCTATGTGATGGTTGAGAGACTTGGCGTGTCACGAAAAGCATTTCTAACAAACTACAGACATTCATCAACAACTGCTGCCTACTCCCAATTGATACTGAAGATCAGATGGTCAGAATAATAAGGATAAGCAACAAAAAACCGGCGCGAAACGAAGCAAGAACCTATCATCCAAGAAATATGCAGAAGAAGAGAGTGGAGATGGATTGGGTTGGGTATACATACACTGAGAAGGCCGATTGGGGACATCACTCTCTAGGCCAGTCCAGGCCATCGAGTGGCATCCAAATGAGAAAACCACGAGTTGGGTATCCGAGGCGAGGGTAACATGGTGGAGATGGTGTGTGAGGAAGAAATGAAATCAGTAACTAAGCCTGACAGTAGCTAAACATTCAATTACACACAACTACAAAATGGGATAGAAAAGGGCGAAAATCCTTTAAAAAAAACTTAACAGAATGGAGAGAGATTGATAACAAAATCTTTGTTTACCGAATCAACACTTAATCCATCGAGCAACAGGAATGACTCAATACCTATTCCGGATATATTATTATTACTACTTTTCCCTTGGGTTCCTAATGGAACATACGAATTCAGTAGCACGTCTCTATTCCATTTTGTTCTCTCCAATCTTTTCAACCTGGTGCCACGACTGCCAACAACCATTCATTTCTTTCCCACACTACCTTCTACATCTCACACTCACTTCGGATATCCAACTCGTCGTTTCCTCTTTAGATTCCACTCAACGGCCTGGCCTGGAGCATGATGTCCACAATCGGCCTTCTCACTGTATGTATACCCAACCCAACCCAATCCATCTACACTATCTTCTTCTGCATATTTCTTGGGTGATATGTTCTTGCTTCGTTGGTTCATTGCCAGTCAGAGTTCCTCCTTGCTTATTCTTTCTCACCATCTCATCTACAGTATCCATTCAGCGTAGGCAGTTATTGGTGTGCGCTTGTCGTTTCTTGGAAGTGCTTCTCGTGACACGCCAACTCTCTAAACCATCACACAGAAGCACTGACTTAATTCATTGAATAAATGTTGTCAATCCGGATGTTGTTCAAGCCGTGCAGTGCAGTAGATCTTCACACTAATTATTTCAGATTAATCAAGGAAGGTCTGTCTTACTGTCTTCCCCATACTGGCTGCATTGACATCGTCATCTGTGCTTGTGTCGACTGTAGTTGAAACGATGCTGCCTAGTTAGTCGTAGGTGAAAGAGACAACTTCTTCTAGATTTCTCCCGTTGATGGTGATTAATGTTTATTGTTGGTGGTGGTGGTGGTGGTGATGGTGATGGTGGTGGTGATGGTTGGGTATTTTCACCACCTGTCTTCTCTACGATCTTCGAGTTCGTGCGACATAACACACTGGACATAAATCATCATCGGTGAAATGTAAATCTTCTTCTGGGGTCTTTCCATCAGTGAAATAGCGTATGCCCATCTTCTCGCTCCTCACGGTTTGTTGCATGATCCAGTCCAGTCAAATACAATCAGGAAGATGATCAGTGATAGTAGGCGGCAACCGTGTCCTACTCCTCTCTTTACTTTAAAGGCATCACTGAGCCTTCTATTCTGAATCACTTGACATGTAGCATACAGCTGCTACTGAATGACGTTGATAAAGATTTGTGGCACTCCGTAGTGTTGAAGTAGTAGCTGCCAAATTACTTCTCGGTCGACGCCTCGATTGAAGGCCTTTTGAAAATCGATGAAGTTGAGGTAGAGAGTTGACTGTCATTCTATACTCTGTTCTATGATGATGGATAGCTCTACAATTTGATCGATACATGATTTCTTTTTCCTGAATCCAGCCTGTTCCGGTAGCAATTTTGAATCCAGCGCATCTTTTAGTCTCTCCAGGAAAATGCGGCTTAATATTTTACTTGGGAAACATAGGAGCATGATTCCGAGCCAAGGTAGCCCTTCTACCAACCAATTGACTTTTTCTCATTACATTGTTCAAAAAAAAAGTTGAAAACTCGATGCATTGACACAGTAATCCATTAAGGTAAGCAAAAATTAATGCGGTTTGAAAACACTTGCTGGAATCATTGACCTACCTTTCTTTATTATCCAAACTAATCATTGAGTCAAAATTATTCTTTAATTCTCTAGTTCGAAATCCTATCACTGAATTTGATCGAATCACTGATGAACGACTATTTTTTATTGATGTTACTGTTGTCGTCATCATTGATGAACAACATGAAGAATTTGATATACTGTTCGGTATCACAGTTATGGTCTAGATGAAAAAAGAAATAAGTTGAAAGGATTGTTTGTTTTTTCTCAAAATATGTGAAATCATTGAACATTGATTCATCAACTTAAATTTCATGTAATAAATCAGAGATTTGATACCCGATACATCCCATCAAGGTTTCAGTAGCCTAGTAAAGTGTATTCAGCCCTTATGTTTAGCATAGCCTAATATGCCAGTATCTACGTGATTACTGAGTTATTGTTGCACAATCATTTTCGCTGTACAAAGGTAACTAATCCCTATTTTGACGGAGTTTGTGGGGATTTAGAAATATTTCAAGTTGTTATTCGTTGTAGACTTACATCAGCTGAAGGAACAAAGGAAACGTGGGAGCACTAGATAGCTGTTTCGTCCGACTAGTATGGTACTCCTCCTCAGCAGTGCGCACTTGCTGGCCACGGAATCTGAAGGTCACGTGTTCGATCCCTAGCAGGATCGTGGGTGCGCACTGCTGAGGAGTCCCATACTAGTTGGACGAAACAGCTGTCCAGTAATCACTATTTGTTGATACTTGTAATTCTCCATTGTTATACTGAATGGAATCGGTCGACTAGCTCAGCTAACGAGTACCAAATAGGACGAAACGCGCATCCTGGATTCCACTGCTAGCCACGATCCATCATTAATCTCAACTGCAGTCTATCTTTAGAGTAGACACAAGAAAGGGGTAAGAAAAAACAAAGTGTACATTCTAAGAGGTTACTCACTGATTTCTTATTTATGGGTTGGCAAAAGTCATTCGATTGAAACTCCATGTTTATGAGGAGTACCGATACCCTTAGGGGAAATATATTTGGTCCACGGTTATAGTTTTTTTAACTGTTATTTTCTATCCCTTACCCCTCACTCCCTGTGTCACTTGTTGTCCAATCAAAATGGACGAGAAAACACCCCATGTGATTGATTGCACAAAATCGAAAAGTACTGTAAAAGGGAGCAAACTTACGAAGGGTCACTTTATTTTCATGATGAACGATGATACAGTCTGAAGTGTTGTAACCAAAAAGGAATCAATCCTTATAGAGCGTTTTCGTCTCAACGCGTTTCTGTTTTTAGAGTCTCTATAGGTCGCCCTAAAGAAGTATGAGAAGCAGACATACACCCACTACGTTGTGCGAGATTTACATTTGCAAGGTGACCGAAGAAGTCTACGTCAAGTTTGTTTGCTTTAAAGCTAGTGGTCGCCGGTGAATAGGTGGTGTAGTGACAAGAAGGTCTGCCCTGTTTGTTTTCACTACATATTTCGTAGAATATCCGTGAAATGTTCTTGTCAGGAGTTCATGCTTGTGAAGTTCTTAGAAAGTTTCTGGACGGTAAACTCGGTGGCTGTTAACCCACAGTCATCCTTGCAATTCTCTGCTTTATGACAATCGTTCTTGGTCGCGGAGAGCATAAGGCCATTGCTAATATCCAGGACGGTTGGATGTAGTGCATATGGATCAATACATATTGATCTCAAGGACTAACAGGATGCGCACTTCGTCCTACGTGGGACTCGTCAGCTGGGTGTACCTGTACCCCAGTGAGTGGTGTGATTCCCCCACTGTGCATCAAACTCAGTACCCATCGCTTCCAAAGCCAGAGCGTTATCCACTAAGCTGAGTCCCAAACAGGACAAAACGCCAGTCCTGGACTCATCTAGTAGTCATCAAGAACAAGCAGCAGTATCAAGGCATCCGTATAGGAGCCCATCTAACAACAAAGGTCGAGCAATTCAGCCCTGTATAACAACAGGAAATTACAATTATCCCGACAATAACTACAGTCAATATATTTTGAAACAGGCCAATCTAAATAGCTTATCTGGGCTCAACCAATCAGATTCCTACAAGTAAGTATCCTAGTCCAATAGGGAAGTAACTTGGTCACACAAACACATTTGACTTTTATACAGAGGAATCAGTCAAACATTTTTTCATTTGCAATTTCTTTTTTCCACCCTAAATAAATTAGGGGGAGGGGAGAAGTGTACCGTGTAATAAACATCAACCCCCTTAGGGCCTCCATATATTCAATCCAGAGTGATGCAGTATTACTTATTGGATGTCATTAGCGCAATACACAAGTTTTATATGAACATATAAGGTTTACATTAAGAATGTATACTAAACAATAGACAGCTTGCTATTGTACCCTGGGTAAACCTAACCCTTCCTTTCTACTTTCGGATAATTTATGCTTAGTCTGGTTTGTATTGAAGATATGTAGTGTGTCTATGCAAATCATCTCTATATCGAAGGTATCTGTTCATTTTTTTGACAGCGACTAAAAAGCTTAGCTTACTCCATAGTTGTTCACGTGAGAGAATATACTCCTTGGATAAACTTCATCATTGAAGCGTATCCGAATTTCAAATCAATTCCCATTGATAATCTCAAAAGATGAAGAAAAAGTAGAAATACTCGAATAAGTCGATTGAAATCTCTTATAACTTAGCTGTAAACGTAAACGGTATCAGATAAATGAGACTCCTTGCTTAACTTACATTTGTGTGTTTATGCAGTTCATTATTCGACTTGAAATTCAAATGAGTAATACATTTTATAAACAACCCATTAGTAATATGAACTAGAACCGCGAGACAGCATTTCCTTCAGGCCTATTTCCACGTATTTAAGAATACAAATCAACAACCACATGTACATCTGTGTACTATGTAATGAGTTACGTATATTGATTGACAGATGATCACACTATCTGGCGGCCGATAACCTACTAAATAGGCACGATAAATAGCTGCTACCTTGACGTGGTGGCATGCTGATGGAGTATCTCTTTGCTTTATCTGCCTACTGTACACAATAGCGTCAATTGCCACGTTATTATGGTGGTCTGAGAGTGAAGTCGTGTTGCTGGTTGGATAGGGTATAACAGCAGTAACCATGATGATGCTGGTTTCTCTATAGGAAAGAAGTCTTATAAAAAATCAGTCCTAAAAGTAGCATACTCCTCTCTCTACCCTACAGCCTTCCGGTGACAGCGGTATGAGACCGTAGTTAAATTCGAAGCAAATAAACCTAAATCACAAACTTCAGAAACCTTAATTAGATATGACTAGGGCTATGCGTTCAAGCATCCAAATTGCTAGCAGAATTTCCTCTCCAGGTATCGCAATAAAAAGCAACCTTCCACAGTGTGGACAATCGAAAAGCATCCACCACCTTCACAGCTCTTTCAGCACAGTAAACACAGGGGGTTTGAACATATCATACACTGGTTGAAGCTCAATTGCCTAGACCATTTAATCAGTCCAATCGACAGCTTTTACTCTGATTTAATAGTCAGGGTTTTACGTCACAATGACCAACGAGATACACTGGCGAGAATGCTTGCGCTCTCGAGGTCCTACCATAACAGAAAGGTCCGTTGGATAGTCGTTAAACAAAAAGCAGTTACTATCATAGTGTAAATTGCTACACTATGATGGGGATCTGAAGGCAAAGTCGTACTCCAAGCTGGACAGGGTGTGAAGAGGTCCCAAAAATAGCACATTCCCATCATATCTCGACATGGGTGAATAGCCGGATACGCATAAAATAAGCCAAAATCTTTAACTTACAATTAGGTCGTGTGTGACTGGCGTGACGGAGATGGGCTCTGCAGTTACGCATTAATTCTTCTTTTTCAGGTATCTGAAGAAGATATAGTCTTCCATGGTGTAGGTAGTCGGGAGATGCCAAACACCCTCACAATTATATAGCACTGACGAACGACTACGCATTAAAAATGCCACAGTTAACCGACCGCATCTGATCATCAAAAGCCAAGTGAATGAAGAAAAAACAGTTTCTAATCAGTTTATAGTTCAGGTTGGTATTCATCATGGATTGACATAAGAACCCCTCCCTCCGGGGGTCGAACTCATCACCTTCGGCTTCCGTGATCACCACGTTATCATTCAACCCCTCGATCAGAGTCCGATGGTCAAAGTTTCTTACTTCGATCAGTTCACGATATAGCGCGACCTACATCGAATATCGTCGTTGAGTAACTGTCCTCATGTTCCACTTAGTTGACCCCACCAATAACGACTACTCATTGGAACTTCGTAAATCCCCTGTCGAAGCCGGTCACTAATCAGTACTAAATTAGTTCAATTTTGAGGTTCAATCCATGAGTGAAGTTATTGGTGCACACTACTGGTGAGTCGCATATCAGGACGAAACAGTTGTCCATTGCTCACAGGGTTGGGCATAAAATTAGCCTTACCAAAAGACTCTAGTGTCTCAGAATGGATAATACATATTGAATGACGGGTCAAAGTTCGGTTATTCAATTCAGTGTAGTATAGAGTAGAGTTGTAAAGTCATCATAATGTCTATCACAGGGGAGTAGTCGTTTGAAGAAACCATCAGATTTCCATAAACTGAAGCTATCAAGTTTTAAGTATCAATGAGAATGAGAGAAGATTCTTCAAATGTTTCACTCTAATAGAAGACTTGAGAGACACTGACACAAACAATCAATAAATCGAGAACTTTTTGCTGCTCATTATAGAAACAAACCAGAATGAGAATAATGTTCAGCGTCATTTTAACTGTGTTCAACCTGTGTTAAAGCATAGTTGAGACTATGTTTACACAATTGTGAAACAAATTATAATTTGACTATGTAAGAAAACCGTAGTTTGTAAGACTAGTATTTGTACTGCGTGATAATTGAAGGTGAGATGAGAATGTGAACCGCAGCCGGATTCTAACCAGCGACCGCCGGGTTACTTCAATCACCAAGGGTAACCCAGTGGTCGGTGGTTCGAATCAGGCAGCGGTTCAGATTTTCATCTCACCTTCAATCATCACTCAGTATAAATACTACAAGTTTGCCAAACATTGGCTATTTTAGATAGTCCAATCCTAATCAATATGATACTCCCCCTCTCTGATCCAGTTAGATTTGGATTGGGTTGAGAAGTCCTGATAAGGCAGTCAGTGGGGAAAAGATCCAGCGGTAGTAACGCGTCACGGATTCATATGGTAGTCAAGCAAAACCCGTGGTGATTGAAGTGAAATAAAATTGTGGTCAGCAGTCGGACCTCACAGCTGAGTTGGCAGAGCAACAGTCCGGTAACCCAGTGGTCTCTGGTTCGAATCCGGTCGCGGTTCAGATTTTCATTTCACCTTCAATCATCAACCTGTACAAGTAAATTATAATTAAATCATTAAAAAAAATAATAAATTAACTTACTCTTGTTATTAAATCGTTATTGAGTGTTTTTCGATTATGCATTACAGCAATACGACTAACAAGATGTCGTGGTGAACTTGCACCCGATGAACAGTGATCACCACCATTACTTTGATCATCATTATCACTTAAAGTATCGTTTTCATTTTCAATAGGATCAGTTAAAGAGATTTTCAGTTGTGTAGTTAATTCATTCATATTTTTCATATTAGTTGGTGATGTATAATGTTGTTGTTTAATTGGTATTCGATGTGTATTCGATGAAGAAGATGATTCGCCTTGACAACAATCATATAAAGTATCAATATGAGGTAATTCTCTTAATGGACTGAATATTTCATCTAAATCTCGAGGTGATAAAGCAATCATAGCACGTGTTTTAGCAATATACTGTTCATAAGTTCGATCAAATGTGATCATATCATAACTAGATGCATTTGGACAGTCAATATAAACACATGAAGAAGAAGTTGTATAATTATAACTATGTAAAGGATTAGTAGATGAGGAAACTTTTCGATAGATAGGGAAAGATGGTGATGAAGAACAATGAGATAATGTTTTCGAAGAAATACAACCAGGAACTGAAGATTTATGATCATCTGAAAGAATTTTTTTTTCAAAAGGAAGAAAACAAAAGTCTATTTTCATGAATTAGTCAATAACTTTTAAAATGATTTCATTCAGTTGACATAACTATTTGTATTCAAGGGGTTTTTTTGATTCAATGACTGATAGTCTCATCATCGTCATCAGTACGCAACCATGACCCCACCCTCCAGCGGTCTAATCCACAACTTTCAGGTTCCGCGGCCAACACGTTACTAGTCAACCACCCAGTCAGAATTTCATACTCCATATTTCCAACTTCTGTTAACTCACAATATAGCTCGACAGCCACTGAATATCATCGTTGAGTAACTGTCCTCATCTTCGACTTGTTTAGCCTCATTGTTCACGACTTCTCATTGAAACTTCAAGAATCACCTCCCTCGTAGCTAGTCACCAATGAGTAGTAGATTAATTCAGAGTTTGTGGAGATTTAGAGATTTTTCAAGTTGGTATTCATCATGAACTGACTTCCGTGGGGAAAACATTGGAAACCTAGGAGCACTGGATAGCTGTTTCGTTTTAATAAGGGACTCATCAGCTGTATGTACTAATGAGCCCACCCTCCAGGGATGTAACCGAGGACCTGAAGGTTCTCTGGCTATCACGTTACCATTGAGCTACTGGGTCGAAATCCAATAGTCCCCATTTGTCCAGTGTTCCAAGAGTTTCCAACGTTCCTCTAAATGACGTCACAGTCCATGATGAATACTAACCTGAAAGTTTAAAAAATGAAATTGTTCGTATCTCCCAAGTGATCACTATCAACGAGGTTAGATAAAATTGAACTACTGATGGAATTTATCTATCTATTTCATAACCATGAAGGTAGATGCTCAGAGACACGTTTGTTAAGCTATCTAATAGTACACCTTATATAGCTTTCTCCACAGGAGCAGCTAAACTTGTAAATACACATAGAAATATCAAAACTGGATACCTTATCTTTTGTCCAAGCAACAACAATCTGTCAACTGGAGAATGATAGACAGAGCTGTGCGGTGTAGAAAGTCCTCTTAATGGCTCTAGAGAGTCTCTGACATAAAACTCCACCAGCTACATCTCTAGCCTTATTTCCCCTCGCTTTGTCCATGTATCCTCATGAAACTGTCACGATAGATCCTCTTGATCAGTGAATTACAAATATATTCTAACTCTTTCTGTATGAAATTATCCAAGCATCTCTCGTTGTTAGTCAGGTATTTAACCAGGTTAACTTTGTACCGAATTCGTACGTGATTACGTAAATGTGTGTAATGACCTATACATTATGATCTCCCTGTTGAATGAACCATCTTCTCTTCTGCTTAGCAAGACATCCAAAAAGTCTAGTTCACTTGCATTTCCTTCTTCACAAGTGAAAGTGTAGTGAAGAGTGCACCTCATTAAATTTTCTTAACACATAGTCTGTATCCACATTTCGATCCAGGATAATGAATGTGTCGTGTCAATATAACAATGATATATATTCATCTCATTAATGACATCTTCCAATGCTCCGTACTCCAGTTCAGCAAGGAATATATCAGGTAAAATAAGGTCCAGTGATGAACTCATAGCTATCCCATCAATGTGTTTATAATCTGAGCTATTGAAGACAAAATGTACATTCATAGTACATCTAAGAAGCAACTGCTTGAGGATGTGTACTGTAATCTTGATATTGATTTATTGTCTCAATATTTGTTGACACACAAACTCTACCGTCTCCAATAAATGGCATATTAGTGAATAGTGATGAGATATCAAGCGACATTATATGTCTCTCGTTTACACACTCACATTATCCAGTCTAGAAATAGATTTTAAAAATCCCTTTTACACTGTGGTTAACCAATTCTTTGTGTAAGGGGTGTAAAATCCTTACTAGCCACTTAACAACTGCTTGGCATGAAGAGTAAGACATACCTAGAACTGGACGAAAAGGCAGTCCAGGTTTGTGTACTTTAGGTAAACCACACAACCATAATGTGTTACTGCCTGTAAATCTGAGTGAGTAGTTGTACGCCGGCTCAAAAATTGTCTTACTCTCTTTTAGTTTCTGAAAAGTATTTGTCATCTGTTTCTCTGCTCTTCCATTTAAGTCTGGAGAGTCACCAAGTCTTTGGAACTTTGTTTGATCATCAAGAAGAATAGTCATTTTGTCAATGTAGTCGCTTCTGTTCAGCGACACTAAACCTTCACCTTTATCTGATCAGATTTTCGTCTTTACTCACCTTAGAAAAAGCTTCTTTGTATTGTTTCCTATGTAAACCTTTTGTATTGTTGGCAACTATCAACTAGTTCACTGTTAGACGATGGAAGCGGTCTCTTTAGTTTGTGTATATCTGTGTCTGTTTGACAATTTTTGTGTCCATAGTCATGGAATTTAAGAACCAAGGAGAAAACCTCCAATTGACTTTTATCCTGAGGTGAATAATATATCACCTTCAAGAAAAACTAGTTTTTTTCCGAGAAGCACTTCTCTAAGAGATGTCATCACCTCGTAGACAATAGTACGAAAGGATATTTCACCATTAATTTCCAATTCTGTATTTATCTATCATTTGATACTCTCTCGCTGCAGCTGACAACACTAGGTGTTGTTAGCGTATCCTTCAGAAGCCATTTGATGAGCTGACGAATGTGACCATCTGAGCATCCCGGTCATTCAGTTCCTTATGCATCATCTTTCAAAGCAGTCGAATGGGTTAAACTGAACTCATTCAAATACTTACGTTGTTATTATTTGTCTGGGTAGCTGAAGTACTAGCAGTTGATGAAGAACAACTGGAACTATTCTCACCTTCATTATGACTATTTTATCTTTCTTCACATTGTTCGTGCCATATGATTCGATAAGACTGTTGTATGATTGTTCAGCTTTAGAAAATGGTATCACTGATGACCAATCGATCCAGTCTTGCATGAGATCAGTCATCGCCCGAATATCTCATTGGTAACATCTCTGGCGGTAGCACTGAGTAGCGGGGATTCAAACCTTCTAGGGGACATTACTTCCATCGACACTGTTGACGAGTGCCAACAAAGGAGAAAACAGGATCTAGTAGGGTACGGTGACGATTGCTTCTAACTACTTGTCAAAGTACACCACAACGATGATCCACAGAGTTTGCTCAGCACATGGGTCTAGACAACATGAAATTGGTTATTGTCCAGTGACCGATCAATAAAAATGACGCCTTTGGTAAATAAAACTTTCTCTGTTTAATTTTCTTTTCTTCAGTAACTCTACATGTATTCTCCTCCAAATATAGTTGTTAAGTAAAAACATTTCCTCACAGAAAAAACACCCTTTTACTCATATTTTTCTTGTAGATCTCTAAGTCAGTTTACCAGGGTAGCGATAAAAATATCAGCAGTAGGCGAAAACTCAGTTGAAAATAGAAAATCACGAAGCAATTACAGAAATAATTTTACATGACTTAAACGTTGAAAAAATAGGAATACAAATACAGGAATAACCAGGCTAGCCAACCCATTTATTACATTAAGTGTCATGAGGTACTTCTCTCATAACGAAATACACGCAAAGGATGACCTTTCTAGTTATCTCCAGAATATGTACTGACAATGAGTACAAGATGTTTCGTTCTGTTGTACAAGTTTCGATGGGTTAAACTGCCCAGTTCATCATATGTATGAGTTGTGTATACGACAAGTGTGGTAAGTGTATATGTGATTAATCAAGTGAAAAAGGTCAGCAGAAATCACATTGTTCAGACAATGATTACTGTGTACAGTAGATATCAAGTCATGGATAATTTACGGGTACTTTTTGTCTATTAGTTAATACATTCTCTCTTGATGGTCAATGTTCCTCAGTCACAAACAGAACCCAACACGCAAACTGGAACCTACTGTTAACCATCACCAAAAGGAGGTGATATCAAAATGAAAATGGAGGCGATAGTGAGGTATCCATTTAGGGAAGATGATGCAGCATCATTAATTAAGAGACCACCCCACCCCTCCCCCACCGACCCCAACCACCTAGTCTACATCGCCCCACCCTACATGCCTCAAAACAAACACTCAAACACTTCATACATTCATGACATGTTTTAGTCTGGCCAACTCAGGCCTTCGGTGAAGTTTCGATGAAGTTTCATACCCTCGTCTGCTGATTTACCTCTTCTCCCTAAAACTCTACTCCCGACTTCTGCATTACTCACGTGGTGACACCACAGAATACGGCATAGCCTATACTACGAAGGCAATGGTGGTCAAACACTTGAAGCCAGCCTTCTCATGTCTTCCGCCTTCAATGGCCATGTTTCATAGCCATACAGTAGAAGAGAGCGGACTGCTGTGCAGTACATGCGACTCTTAGTAGACAGACGGATATCACGGTGGCGCCATAGGTGGCGTGAATTGGCAAAAGCTAATCGAGCCTTTTGTATCCATGCAGAGATTTCATACACTTTCAATTGATAATTAAAATGATTAGGTCACGCAAAAAAAAAGAAAATAACCTTACCAAGTCAACTGTTTACTGCTAATGTTAGAGTTTAGTAATGAGAGAATAAACTACTACTTACAAATCGATTGTGATAACATTTTCATAGAAATTACGTAAGATAAGCTGAAACCGACTTTCTAGTCTGTTGGTCGCTGAGACGATAGGAATTAGTGGTTGTGGACTTTGGGTGGCGTGGTGCAGATAAATTCACTTTTTGACATCTTCGATGTTTTAAAAAACCTTCATTTTTTAATTCCTTCTTCTCTAATACACCATTTGTTCCTTGTATGCTACTGTAGAGTGTGGCAACTTGAACCGATATACTTGTGTGTGAAACAGATAGACAAACAAACGGAAAATCAACTCAGAACGTCATACACAAGTGCATCGATTAAAGTTTCCACAACTCACAGTAGTACACAAAAAACAGATGGATGGAAAGAGACTGATATCAAAGTAGATAAAAGCTGTGTAAGAGAACAAGCAATCTGAAGATAAAGGTCAGTCCGAATATTCAAGCTTTAGAAGACG